ATATATATATATATATATATATATATATATATATATATATATATATCAAAACAGTTTAAATTAAAAAAATATTAATTTTGTGAATAAGATAAAAAATGTAACTTACGAAAAAGTTTTTGATAAAACATTCACTTTTAGAGCACTTTTTTGAGGTGCATATTAGATGGATCCATAAGATTATCTTGGTTTTCCTTTTCAAAATTTAACTAAATAAAATGGTTGCACAATTATCCACAATGTTGTAGTAAGAGCAGACATAATAGACAGTTGGTCAGAAAAACTATTTTTGATGCGACGTGATTTTCACGTCACTAATTTGTGACGTGAAAATCATGTCGCTAATTTGCATTTGTAATCAGGAGGTTGCGACGTGATTTACATGTCACAAATTCGTAACGTGAAAATCACATCACTAATATATATATTTTCAAAAAAAATTAATTTCTGAAACAAAATATAAATTAATAAATTAAATTAGTAAACTAAATTTATAAATTAATAAACTAAAAAAACTTAATATAATAATATATAATTTAATTTTACTATATATATATATATATATATATATATATATATATATATATATATATATATATATATATATATATATATATATATATATATATATATATATAATTTGGTTTTAAATAAATATATTAAGTAAATTTTCATTTTATTTTTTTATAATATTAACATAATAACAAATTACCTATTATTTAATATTAACGTAATAAATTTTTTTACAAAAATATAAACATAATATTTAAACACAATCAAATAATCCAATTTATACGTAAAATTAAATAAAAAATAGTATAAATATCTTTTTTTCAATCTCCTTCCGTTAATCTTTTTCTTCAATCTTTTTCCTAAGCACTTAAATATTCTTCGATCTTTTTCTCTTCAATATCTTGACAAAACAAATTAAACATAAATTTATATATGAAAACATAATAAACATTAAACAAAATTATAAAAATAAATTGAAGATAAATTATGTAAGACAATTACTTATATAAGCCAATTATGCAAAATTATGAAATAGAAATTGAGATAGGAAGAAAGAAGATATACAATAGAGAAAGAGAAGAGAAGAGATGATGAAGAAAAGAAGAGAAGAGAAGAAACAAAACTAGTGGTTCTGAGAAGCGAAAAGGGGATTTAAATAAGCCACGTAGTGATGTGAATACTCCGTCGCGATTTTCTCACATGATATTCACGTCACAAAACACCAATGGTCAAAATTTTATTCTCTCAGCCTGCACCAACTTGCACCCAATCAATTCCAAGTTAGACCATTTTCCCTCTTAAAAGGTTGCGACGTGATTCCCACGTCACAACTAAAATTTTGAAAATTTAAAACTTTCCCCCATGTGAATGTTACAGCCTTTTTAAAAAGAATTATGATTGAAAAAAAGAATCAATAAATTTGAGCTATTAAAAAGAAAAAGAGTTGAAAAGTGAAGGGCATAAATTGTGTCGGCATAAGAGTCGTATGTTATATCCAAAAAAAGAATACAAGTGGGGTAAAAAATGTTGAATTGTGTATTGGTGTGATGAATTGAATGTTCTAATGCGTTAGGAAATTTAGTTTCAATTACCTTGAGAAATATCCCTTCCTTATAACTAAGACAAATTACAACCCTTTCAATGTCTTGTGATTCTTGTTTAGCGCGTTTGATGCTTTTTGTGTGATGAATGCATAATTTGATCCGGATGTTGGCATGATTTTTGGATGAGTGAAAAAGCCCTTTTTGTTGTTTCTCATCCATTGATGAGTGAGTGTTTAGGTGTGATTCAGTTTTGAGTTGTATTGTTTTGGAAATTTTGATATGTATGTTGCACTTAACCATTATTTCATACTTATGGTTGGATTTAGTTAGTGGTAAGAATTATCTTGTTTGTTCTTGTTCATTTGAACTATAAAATTATCTTATGAAAAGCTTGTTGTTTCCTAATTTTGTGGTTTGTCTTGGTTTTCTTTTAGTTGGAGAATTTTTGTTTAGGGACAAACAAAATGCTAAGTTGGGAAGAGTTTTTAGGGACAAAAATATTGATATGTTTGTAGAAAATTTTGTGTTCTTGGCACTCTATTTTAATAATTAGTAATGTTTAAGTTTGTAAATAGATGTAAATAAGTAATTATATAGTTTTTGTGATAAATCACTTTGTTTATTTAGTTTTATGCTCATTTTCTAGGTTTTGATGTTGGAGCATTGGAGCATTGGAGCTTTGGGCAAGTTAGAGCCAAGAATGTGGGGCAACAAGTCAAAAATGGAAGTTTTGCTCAGGCTAGCGCGGTGAGCGCAAGTTGAAGCACACTTTGATGTTTTGTGAATTTGGAAGAATGACATGTTTTTGGTCCTGCTAAGCGGCCTCGTCCCGCTTAGCTTGGTCAACTGAATCAAAAAATAGATATTTACATTGAGCCCGCTTAGCGCGCCCTGGCCGTTCAGCGGGACTCACTTTTTGGGCACTTGTATAAATAGCATCATTTGTAATATTTTGGCTACCAACTCTTGTACAACACTCGCAACTCAGATTTTTAGGGCTAAGAAACAGTTTTTATCATTTTGTAACTCAAGATCAAAGATTTCTATCTTAAATCTTTGATATTTTCTAGTTGATATTCATCAAGCTTCACACTTTACTTGTTGATCAAACTACCATGGTGATGGATAGATAAATCCTTCTTTGTGTCAAGATTAGAGGTAGATAATATTTCTCTTTGTATGTATTTAGCTTGATCATTTGTATGTGAATATGTTGATGATAAATATATGTTTAAAATTCTTGTTTTATGGTTCATTTTTGAGTTGATCATTATTGAGAAGTATGTTCATCTCTTGACCTAGGTTTTCACTTATCAATGAACAATTTCTAGACATAGTTTTGTGAGTTGATATTCACTAATATTGAGCTTTTAAAGTTATCAAATGGATAGTTAGGTAGAGATATCATCTAAAGATACATTTGATAAAACTCACATTTTGTTTTAGAGATGAAACATCTTGAGAGGATATGTGATTATATTTATGATCAATGAGTTCACATACTTGATTGAGAAAATACGTCCGAAAGAAATTATCGAGCCCTAACCTTGACACGCTTTTACCAAACATTTAAAACCGAAACTTTGTTTTCCCTATACTTGATATTTTACATGAAATTAAATTTTTTTATTACTAAAACCAACATCAAACCGTTTTATGAAACTTAAGTTTAAAATGATTATAACTATAGAACGACAGTAATATCACACAAATCCTTGAGTAAAATGATAGTATAAATATTTGTGTTGAAAATAATTACAACAAGAAGCTGTTGCCACTGCATGTTAGATGCTTAACAAATGTCCAACGAAGAAGCTGAAGGAAATAGTTCATATTCAGAAGTGGGTTGGGGATAAGCAAAGTGTTAGTAATCTGAAGGTGTTTGGTCCTGTATGTTACAAACATGTCCCAGAAGCCAGAAGACAGAAGTTGGATGATAGAAGTAAAGTAATGTTACTGGTGGGGTACCACAGTACAAGTTCGTATAAACTTTATTGTCCAGAAGCTAACAAAGTTGAGTTCAGAAGAGATGTCATTGTAAAAGAATTATAAGTATGGAATTAGGAAAAGCCTCATCCTGACTCTGATGAGAGAACTTTTGAAGAAAAGTCAGAAACACATGTTTCTGAAGCTGGTAAAATTTTTAACTCTGAAGACGAGTCTTATGGTGACTTGGACTCTGAAGAAGATTCAGAAGGTGAAGATGATTCTAACTCTAACTACGATGGTGATTCAGACTTTGGAAATTTTCCAGACTCTAAAGACAGTCAAGGTTCTGGAGAAAGTCCATTTTCTGAAGAAAGAGCTTCTGAAGGGGAAAGTTCTGGTGTCTGGGGTTCTGAAGTTCAAGTTCAGAGGCAACAAAGAGTCAGAAGAATCCTAAGAAGATTTGCAGAGTTTGACATGTTGCAAGACACTAAAGTAGACTCTGAAGGAGAAGTTATTCAGTGTACAATGTTAGTAGACTCTGAACCCATGAGTATGGAAGATGCTCTTAAGCAGCAAGTTTGGTTACAGGCACTACGCCAAAAATAAGTTTTAGCAGCACATAAAAGAAAGCGCTTTTGGAAAAAAGCGTTGCTGTAGGTTTTAAAAAAAATTCGCTTAAAAAAGCGCTTTCAAAGGGTTCCTTAAGAAAGCGCTTTTCAAAAGCGCTTCTAAAGGTCACCCTTAGAAACCTCTTTTTGGGAAGCGCTGCTAAAGCTGGCCTTTCAGAGGGTACCTTAAGAAAGCTCTTTTCAAAAGCGCTGCTAAAGGTCAGCCTTAGAAAGCGCTTTTCCAAAGCGCCGCTAAAGCTGACCTTTAGAAAGCGCTTTTAAAAGCGCTGCTATAGGATATGCTATGAAAGTGCTTTTTGATGTAAAAGCGCTGTTATAGATGACCTTTAGAAAGCGCTTTTAAAAGCGCTTTCGTAGGTAGTTTTATAATAAATATCAAAACACAAGGTGGTGTGAGCATTGTAACAATGCAAGTCTTTCCCAATTCTTATCTCTTCACTTTTCCTAAACCCTTAAACCCTCCCTCTCCCCTTTTCCACTTCCAATGTAGTCCTCCTCCTCTACTCTTCTGAAAACCACCACCCTCCACCGTTGCAAAGTCCTTCTCCTCCGACGAGTTCCCCGTCGACGAGACCTTCCTCCAGACCTTCGGCCCCAATAGCAACGAATCCGAGGATGAAGCTCGAAAGTGCAACTGGATCGAACGCGGCTGGGCTCCCTAGGATGAAATCCTCACTCCCGAAGCCCAATTCGTGCGTCACAGTCTCAACGAAGGTGAAGAGGTTCCTCTCAGTTCGTCGGAGTCCATCGAAGCGTTCATAATGTTGAACCCTAGGTACCGTAAGAAGAAAATTGAAGAAATGGGATTGACGGAAGAGGAGTATTTGGCGAAGCAGTTTGAAATCAAGGGAGAGATTTCTGAGCCGTTGGAGATGAAAGCTCAGATAAGATGAAGAAATCTCCTTTTAACAGATTCTCAGTTAATGATCTTTAATCTTATTCTCACACTGTTTCTAAAAGAATTGTTCTTTTCAAGCTCAACAATGTTATTTTGAAAATATTCAGGAAATTGTGAGTGCTGGAGGCAGTACAGTATGGGGGAGTCCTGCAGATGTAGGAAGTGTTGTAGGAGGGGAAGAATTTGATGTGGTTTTGGACAACAATGGCAAGGATCTTGATGCTTCGAGGTTCGTTGTATCAATTCTTGTTAACTTGTGTTCATTACTTCACTTGTTATCTTGTTATCTTGTTATGTCATGCATGGCACCAACTCTTAGATCAAAGACATGTCTAGTGTTCGACACTTACAGAACACAAACATAAGTTTAGAATTCTCGTGTGTTAATGTTTGTTATGCCAATGTTTCATATTGCCAACAGCATACTGCAATACTGTTAAAGAAACATAAACTTTTCAGACATTGTAATTGTCATCTCTAAGCCAGACATCTTAATCTCGATCGTTCCTTGTAGGCCGGTGATAGATTGGGCCAAGAGTGCAGGTGCCAAGCAATTCTTGTTCATCAGTAGTGCCGGAATCTACAAACCAACGGATGAACCTCCTCATGTTGAAGGGATGTGTTAAATATTCCTAATATCGCTTTTCTAAAATCACTATGCTGATAACAATTGTTACTGTCTAAAGTTTGAAAACCACTGTGGAGCAGGATGTTGCCAAAGCAGATGCTGGTCATGTTGGAGTTGAGAAATACATTGAAGAAACTTTTGACAGTTGGGCAGTATTCAGGCTACAGTATATGTTAAGGTCTGGAAAATGCAACTAGCATTCATGATTTTTTTTTGCTTTGGTTTATGTGGATTGTTAATGCTAACTTTGATATGAATGTGACAGCTAGACCAAGATTATTACCCTGGTAGGAGGAAAAGAGGCAAGGACTACAAAGAGGGCGTGGTAGGATTGCGATTTTTTTTTATGTGTGTTTCATTGGAATATTAGAAAGTAAAGATATTATTGTGCTAACTTTTATTTAATTGTTTCATGTTTCTTGCAGTACGAGTTACCATTCTATTATCCTCGTCAAGTAAGCTACTCATCAATTCTTAAGTCATATGCCTTATGGATTATATTGTATTGTTGTTGTGAAGAAACTGATTTCATATGGCAGGCTTGGGATAATCTTCGGTAGACATGTTTAGTTATTTTTTCAGTAATGACGATGTAAAATTTGTATTTTATAATTGTATAATTTGGAATATTTGTTTAAGAAAACTATGAATAGCTGATTTTACCCTTTAATTACAGCATCACGTTGTCACCTGTTTTTCTTTCTTTTTTGGTTTTGTTCAGTTTTAATGTTTCTAATCGGACAACTCTATTTATAACCCAATAGATGATCCTATTTTATTTGCATCCATATAATTAAAATCAGTCTTTTTTCTGTATCAAGAAAAACGCTGCCTTAGGTAACCTATGAAAGCGCTTTTTCACAAAAAGCACTGTCTAAGGTAAACATATGACAGCGCTTTTCCAGGAAAAAATGCTGCTAAAAGACCACCTATGAAAGCGCTTTTCCAGAAAAAAAGCGTTGCTAAAAGCCTACCTAAGACAGCGCTTTTCCAGAAAAAAAAACACTGCTAAAAGAAAACTTATGAGAGCGCTTTTCCAAAAAAAAGTGCTGCCTTAGGTAGACTTATGAAAGCGCTTCTCATTGAACAAAAAGCGCTGCCAAAACCAATAGCAGCGCCACCTTAGAAAGTGCTTTTAAGCGCTTTTAAAGGCCAAAAAAAGCGCTTTCATAACTTATTTTTGGCGTAGTGAGGACATGAAAGAAGAACTTGATGCTATATAGAGAAACAAGACTTGGAAGCTGACAAAACTTCTAAAAGGCTAGAAAGTTATCAGCGTACGATGGGTTTTCAAGTATAAGTTAAATCCAGATGGATCAATTGGCAAACAAAAAGAAAGATTAGTAGTAAGAGGTTTTCTACAGAAGCTTGGGCTGGATTACTCTGAAGTGATTGCACCTGTAGCGACACATGAAACAATCAGACTAGTGATTGCAATAGTTGCTAACAGGAATTGGCCTATGATGCATTTAGATGTAAATCTGCATTTCTGAATGGTCCATTACAAGAAGAGGTATACGTGTCACAACCTCCTGGATTGAGAAAAAGAATCAGGAAAGGATGGTGTTCAAATTACACAAAGCCCTGTATGGATTGAGGCAAGCCCCAGAGTCTGGAATCTGAAGATTGATTCATTTTTGAAGAAACAAGGGTTTCAAAAGTGTTAGATGCAGTATGGTGTTTATGTTTAGCATACTTCAGAAGGTAATATGATTCTGGTATGTTTGTATGTTGATGATATATTGCTAACAGGAAGTTCTGAACAAGGGATAGCTAAGTTCAAGAAGATTCTAATGAATGAGTTTGAGATGACAGATCTTGGGAAAATGAGTTACTTTCTAGGGATGGAGTTTATGTACTCTGAGAATAGAATCATTTTGCATCAAATGAAGTATGAATTTGAGCTTCTAAAGCGATTTAAGTTGGAGAATTTCAAAGTTTCTATCACACCTACTGATATGAATCAGAAGTTGGATTCTGATTTGGATGGAGAGGATGTGGATGCTAAGGCCTTCAAACAGTTTGTTGGATCTCTGAGGTATTTGTGTAATACTAGACCTATTATTTGCTATGTAATTGGAATGGTTAGCAGATTTATGAGTAAACCAAAGTGGTCCCATTACTAAACTGTTGTCAGGATTCTGAGGTATGTGAAGGAAACTCTGAAGTATGGAGTATTATTTTCTTCTGGAAGAAAGACTGAATAAAGACTTCTGAGTTATTAAGACTCTAATTGGTATGGAGACAGAGTTGACAGAAGAAGTACGTCTGAGTACTTATTCAAATTTCTAGGAGGTCCTATTTCTTGGTGTTCCAAGAAGCAACTTGTTGTTGCGCTGCCAACATGTGAAACTTATATTGTAGGCGCTCTGACTGCATGCCAAGCTGTGTGGATTCTGAACTTGTTGCAAGATCTGAAGATTAAGGCAAACAAGCCTCTGAAGCTGAAGATTAATAACAAGTCTGTAATCAATCTTACGAAGAACTCATTGCTGCATGAGACAAGCAAGCATATTGAGACCAAATATCACTTTCTGAGGAATCAGGTTCAGAATGAAATATTAGAAGTTGTGCACTGTAGCACCTAGAAGCAGCTGACAGATGTTCTAACAAAGGCTATCAAGACTGATCAATTTCTTTGTTTGAGGGATGCAATTGGTGTTGTCAGTTTTGTGTAAATATAAATTAAGGGATGGTGTTGGAAATAATTTATATTTTAGGAATGTCTTAATGATTAAGTTTGTTAGAGGGTATTTTAGTATTTTATTATACCCTAATTTTGTGTATAAATAACCTAGTAGTAGACCAATGTAATTATTCAATACTCCTTATTTTATAGTTGTCACTCAATATATTTTTTTTTGTCTTTCATTTCTCCTTGTACCAATACCATGATACCTTAAAAACAAATGAGAAAAATGGTTGATCAAATAAGAATTAGAGAAAATTTCAAGAAACTAAATTGCATAAACTTCAAAAAAGAAAATAAATATTGTTACAATGTAAATTGTGAAAAACAAATGCCATACATACAATTCAAATAAAATTTTAAGTTGTTACAAAATAAGAGAATTATGTTGCAAATTTCCAAAATCAAACTGACTGTTTTTTTTTTTAAATAAAATTTATGAGATCAAAATTTTTCATAAAAAAACCAAAACTAAACTAATATTGTACCCCTTTTGTTAGTATAATATATGTCTTTTTCATTCACATGTTAGACGCATGCAAGCATGCCTTTCTCTTCCTTTTATATATTTTCTTACCCCACAAATTCTAAAATGAATGTAAGAGATGCAACAATCATTATCTCCTCTCCTATCAAATTCTATGGTTGAAGAACAAATCTAAAACTAAAATTGTAGATAGCCAAGTATAAATAGTGAGTGATTACGGAATCCAAGTGCTCCCTTTATTATATCCCTTACTTGCTGACCATAAATTTTTTATTTTATTTTAGGGTGTAATGCCTACGAAAGTGTAAAAGATTGAGAGAGTATCTTATATGTGGCCAAGAGAGCTACAATTGTTAGTGCTTCTATTAATTTTGCATACCAAGGTAAACTGAAGTTTAAAATTGTAGACTACATCTACATTTTGTAGTGGCCTTTTTGTCGTTTGACTCTGTGTAGTAACCTTAATATTTAACTACTTTGCCATTTTTCATTAAAAAAAAAGGCATTATATACATTGTGAAATATGCATAGTTTCCATCAAATATATCTAAGTTGTCCTATATCCATGAGAGAAAGTGTCACGTTTAATTTTTATGTGATGTAAGAGTTAGATATATTTTTTGTCTAAAATTTATTGAACCCATTGACGTGTAAATTACCTTAAAAGGATTAAAAAATGTATTTTATTAAAAACTTAAATTTTCATTTAAATTATATATTTATTGCTATATATATATATATATATATATATATATATATATATATATATATATATATATATATATATATATATATATATATATATATATATATATGTAATTTTGAATTTTTTTTTGAATAACCAGGTATTAAAACAAAATTTCGCAAATAATCGCGTTTCGGAAAAAATTACGCAAATAACCATATTTCAGATGACTCCCCAAAGGAGGAGTCATCTCACTTGGCGCCTCCACCAACATTTTTGCCCTAGGCGCCATCTCACTTGGCGCATCCTCTCTTTTTTAGCCAAGTGAGATGGCGCATGCTCTTTAAAAGTGAGAGGAGGCGCCATCTCACTTGGCTCCTAGGGCAAAATGCTATTTTTATAAATAATTCGTCCGTTTCTCCGTCATTTCTCACACTTTCTCGCACTGTTTTCTTATTTTTTACTCTGATATTTACGTCATGACATCGCCCATGATTTTTACCAGAGATGGTTACGTTGTCTTCTCCGCCACGAAACCTGCGATGAAAATGAAATTCTGGCACATTCACTCCATGGAGCGTCTGAAGCGGGAGTTGATGCGATGGCTAGATGGAGACATTGTGGAGGGAGGAAAATTCGAAGGATCCAGCGAAGACGAACAACAACCTCACATGCGACTGGAAGACCTAATGTATGGTTGGAGGAAGTCAAAACAGACAGCGACGTAATGTTGATGATGCATAGGTCAGATGAAATTGTTTTAACAGTTGTAATTTAGTAGACGGAATATCATGTTTTTTTCTTGTACGCGCAATATTTATTGTAGCAAATAATCTTAACGAAAAACCCTAATGTTTACAACATAATTAAGGAAAGATTTTATGTATTACAATTTTTATGTGGTCGAGGCAAACGCCCGATTCGGACAATTTTTGCGATTGTGTCCGACCTGACGGCATAAACCACACTTTCTTTCCAGCTAGTCAAGGTCGTCCATTTCGGTTGTGATGAGCTTACTTTTGGGACAACCCTTCTTGTTCCTCCGCATTTGGTCATTGTGCCACACTATTTTACCGTCGTATGCAGGTCAATAATCTGGTTTTGCTACCAAAGGAAAGTTGTTGTTGTAAATGTTGAGCAACATTTCAGATTTGTAAATGTGTGACAGAAGTTGTAGCGCGTCTTGATGGGTATAAGCACAAGCGACAATGACATGAGAGCAAGGCAGACGAAAGGCTTGAAACTTGCCACAATCGCACCAACGAGGAGGTAGTACAACCCTATATTCTTGTCTTGGCAGGCCTTCGTTATGGTCGATTGTTTCTTTCACAATGAAGTTGTGGCTGTGTCGGTCAAACCGTATTACCATATGAGTGTTGGCTTTGGCACTTTCTGCCTTAATGTACTTCATGCAGCTTTCACTCCATAGTTATCCAGATTGCAACACCGCATTCCATATTTCACCTCTTTTGGAAAACAACGAAGCCATCCAAAAATACTCGTAGATTTTATCAAATCAGTGATCGGGAGGTTTCGTATGCCTTTGAATACCCCATTCATCGATTCAATTAGATTTGTTGTCATGTGCCACCATCTTTGGCCATTGTCGTATGACCTAGTCCATTTTTCCACTGGAATATTGTTGATCCACCTACCGGCTTCCGGATTTGACAAACGGATCTCGTTGCGGTAATATTTG